ATGGTTACTACAGTCAAATTAACATATCTGTCACCTCCCATAATTACCTTTTTGTTGTGGTAAGAGTGCTTAAAATCCATTCTCTTATCAGATTTTCAGTATACAGTGCAATATATTTAACTATAGTCCTCATTCTCTATATTAGAGCTCCACACTTACCATCCTACGTAACTGCAAATTTGTGTACTTTGACCTACTTCTCTCCATTTCCTTCTCTTCCCTGCCCTGGTAACTACCATTCTTCTCCCTGTTTCTATATATATGATTTTTTTTTTTTTGGTAGATTCTGCATGTAAGTGAATTCATATAGTATATTTCTGTGCCTGGCTTATTTCACTTTTATTGGGACTATTGAAAATAATGAAACTATTTACAGAAGTGATGAGAAAGGTAATGTATAGTGGGAAAAGACAAGAATTTTAACCAATTTTTTAAAAAATATCTTGCTCTTGAAAAATTTTACCAAAAAAAAAAATGTGATTATAACCTTAGAAGAGGCCCATGCATCCAAGGGACCCAGAAGCTTATGCTTCTTTAGCTTCTTGGTAAATCTGCCTTTATGTGTACATTTAGCCTTTTGTAAGAGTGCTGCACCATTATGTTATGTTTGCTCTCATGCAATTACCAATGACTTTATTTTAAAAATTATTTATTTGGAGGGATCATTATACCCTATTTGGAAGGGTAAGAACACAATAGCCTTAATTACTCTGGGCTAAATCACATTAACATGTAGAAGTGAATACAGTAGTTGAAAATACTACCTTTTCTTGCTGGTAGAAGGTATCCTTTGTTATGTGGAGATCCCTGAATACCCCAGTAGTTGGGGTGGCACCTGACGGAATGACTGAACCGTTATATACCACATGTTTATAGGCGTGGTAGACAATATGGGACGTGGAAAAAACCTGTTCGGACCTGACACCCATTTACTACTTAATAACTTGGTTATTAAAATTGTACCTCTATTTTTTATTCTCCTCAGGGTTCAGGAACAGTACACTAAAACATTAATTAAAATCTATGTGAGAGCTTTAGCTAGAAGTTCAATGTAGCAAAATAATATTTAAATGGTAGACATTGGTTGCTAACAGAAAAGGCTCATTTCTGGATTTATATTTTAAAAAAAGACTGTCATGGTATACAGTGATGAGTACACTGTAGTTCTGTTCAGCTATGCACAATGGGATATTGTAGAAGAATTAAAACTTAAAGGGGTGAAAAAATGTGAAAATACTGAATGGGAAGAACAAAGA